CAACAGATGGGAAACCTTGACATCTGAGTGTTCAGCCTGGAGGCAGACACTGCATCACGGCCTCTCCCAATTTGAAGAGACCCTTGCCCAGCAGGCTGAGGCAAAGAGGAAGTCACAAAAGCAGCAAAACCAGGGAGCTGGACAGGGAACAGATTGTATTTGTCTTCAATGTGGAAGGGATTGTCACTCTCGAATTGGCCTCCTCAGCCACACTAGATGCTGTTCCAAGTCCTCCATACAGAGCACGTTACCATAGTCTTTCGAGACTGAAGGATGTCTAACTAAGCTAGCTGGTTCAGAGGACGTCCATTTTTAAAATGGGGTGGGTCCCCGTCTGAGAACATGAAAGCAAAATTGCAGGGTGGGCTGAAGCATATGCAATTTACCTAGCTGTTGTTTTAGCAGCTCTGTCCTAGGCAGTTAGGTGCAGCTACGATTAGTGAGGCTTATTCTGAAATGAATGTAGTTAAGAGTTGTAGTCTAAATTAAATGTATCTCTTGAGAGCCTGAGTAAAATATGATCAAGGAAAGATGGAGTCCAATTCTAAGCATTTCTAGATGCTCACCTTAGAAGCCACAACAACTAGTTACATCAGGAAAACATAATATTTTCATAATAGAGGGAAGATGTGGGCTGTCTCACCATGTAGTTTAGAACATGGTGATGTCCTTACACAAGTTATCTGGAGTCTTAGATGAGCAATGTGATGTCTACATTTGCAGATGACAGTGTTAATCAGGATGGTATCAGTGTTGCACACCTGAGTGGTACCAAAAGATATACCACAGCCAGACATGAGCCCTGCAAGGTAGAGTATATAGCAGCTATGCAGGGTAGCTGGGATCATATCTGAAAGGGAATTGTTCCTGACAGAGCAGACTGAATCTATTAACATATAATCAAACTTCACTAATGTTCCTAAAGGTGTTAAAATGAATGTGATTAAGCAGCTTACCCCATGTATGATATTACAGAACATTCCCGTTAATTTAGATCCAAAGGATTTTAATTTACCCAAGTTTATGGAAACCCTTGTGTGTTGGAGGCTCACTTCCCACAGGAGGCTCCTTCAAGGCCAGAGTACTTTC